TGAATTATAACAATGATTGGCAGTGTTTGCCACTAGGACCCATTGAATCCATGTGTACATTGGAGTCCTGCATGTGGGGTATGTTAGAGGAATATTGGGCAGTCCTTTTCCCTGTCGAAGTGGAGCTTGGGACTAAGTCACCCACCAGCCCTGAAAACCAATGTTGGCCTCTTATCTGGTTTCTTCTTGTGTAACTACTTTTCTATTGTATAGAGATAACTTCTTTATTCTCTCAGGAAATGGCTGCTACACTGTGTCATTCTGAATGTGTCTGACCTTTCTCTGTCTTTCTTCTAAGCCAGGCTTACAGTTTTCTATATAGTTGAAGTATTCTACTGGTGTGTCAGATATGTGGGTCATACCAGGAGATTAAAGAAAGAAGAAGAAAAAGGAATAAAGAATAAAAGCCCACAAATGTTCATTGGATATATCGTTTATTCATTCTCATTACTGAAGGACATGTTGGTCATTTTTGAGATTTCAATTATGAATAAAATCTCTGGATGCATCCATGTGTATGTTTCAGTGTGAGCATATTTTAAAAGTCCTTTGATAAATACCAAGGAGCTGGCACCAGTGGCTCACGCCTGTAATCCTTGCTACTTGGGAGGCTGAGATCTGAGAATCACGGCTCAAAGCCAGCCTGGGCAGGAAAGTCTGTGAGACGCTTAGCTCCAATAAACCACTCAGAAAACCAGAAGTGGTGCTGTAGCTCAAGTGGTAGAGTGCTAGCCTTGAGTTGAAGAGCTTAGGGACAGCACCCAGGCCCATAGTTCAAGTCCCATGACTTACAAAAAAAAAAAAAAAGGATAAATACCAAGGAGCAGAATTGTTGGATTATATACTAATATTTGAATTTTTTGGTTGTTTGTTTGCTTGTTTGGCAGTCCTGTGGCTTGAACTCAGGCCCTGGGCATTGTCCCTGAGCTTCTTTTGCTCAAGGCTAGCATTCTACCACTTGGGCCACAGCAACACTTCTGAATTTTTCTGTTTATGTGGTACTGAGGAATCGAACCCAAGGCTTCATGCAAGCACTCTACCACTAAGGCACATTCTCAGCCCCTATGATTAGTTTTGTAAGAAGGTTTAAAACTGTAAGGTATGAGTGGTTTTTATTACTCCATACCCTTATTAGCATTTGGTGTTGACAGCATTTGGGTTTTTCTCTGTTCTAATAAGTATGTTGTAATAAACCTACTACACTGTTGTTCTAATTTGCAATTTCCTAATGAAATGTAATACTTATCAAAATGGGCAATCTTATTAAGTCAGGTAGTGTACGTCTTCTGACTTTGTTCTTCTTCAAGATTGTTTCGACTATTCTGCATCCTTTATCTTTCTATATAAGCTTTACAATTAGTTTATCTATGTCCTCAGAATAATTTGCTGGAATTCTAACTAGATTATCATAAATCTATAATACTTCCCAAGTTCCAGTGGAAAGTGTTGATATCTTGACAATATTGAGTCTTTTTATTCATAAACATTGAGTATGACACATAGCCATCGAGTCCTCTGCCCTGTTTGGGCCAGAAGCTAAATTGACATGCCTATCTCTGTCTTTCTGTCAACTCTGAGCTTAGAAGCCTCAGCCACTGGTCTCTGAAGTGACTTTCATGGTTTGTAGGCCATTCAGTATCAAAGCCTAAATGACATTTTTATCCCATAGAAGTCTATATATATATATATATTTTTTTTGGGTCCGGTAGTGGGCCTGAACTCTGGGCCTGGGCGCTGTCCCTCAGCTCTTCAGCTCAAGGCTAGCGCTCTACCACCTGAGCCACAGCGCCACTTCCGGCTTTTTTCTTTTTTGCTTATGTGGTGCTTGGGAATCGAACCCAGGGCCTCAAGCATGCAAGGCAAGCGCTCTACCACTGAGCCACCTTCCCAGCCCAGAAGTCTATATTTTTTTAGATGTAGAGTTTGAGTTTCCAAAATAAGATTTCAGGATGGATACTGGTGGCTTGCATCTGTATTACCAGCTGCTGGAGAGGCTCAGTTCCTGATGGTTGAGATTCAAAGCCAGCTTGGGCAAAAAAAAAAAGTTTTCAAAGCTACATCTCCAAAATAGCCAGCAAAAAGTGGTGCTAGAGGCATGTCTCAAGTGGAAAAGCCTCAGCCAAGTGAGTAAACCATCTGAACAAACCCAAGGCCCTGAGTTCAAACCCCAGCTGAGCAAGCACAAGGCCTAGAATTCAACTCTCAGTACTGACCCCCCCAAAAATGTTTTCCAGCCATCACTCTTTATGCTTTGTCACTTTACTCCTTTTAAGATGTCCTGCTACATAGTCCAGGCTGACCTTAAATTCATGTTCCACCTGCCTCAGTCCTCTGCTGGAGCATACAGCTGTATACCACCATATCTTGAAATCAGTAAATCAGTAATGTTCACTGTTAAAATTGGTACTTTCTGGGCTGGGAAGGTGGTTCAGTAGTAGAGTGCTTGCCTTGCATGCATGAGGCCCTAGGTTCTATTCCTCAGTACCAATAAGCAGAAAAAGCCGGAAGTGGCGCTGTGGCTCAAGCAGTAAAGTGCTAGCCTTGAGCTGAAGAGCTGAGGGACAGTGCCCAGGCCCACAGTACAGGCCCCATGACTGACAAAATCAAACAAACAACAACAACAAAAAAAAAACCCTGGTACTTTCCTATGATAACTAGTGAGGCAAATTTATTATGACATACTTAAAATGGAGAAAATTCAGGTGAGATAAATGAATTGTTTATGAGATGAATCATAGCTTAGTTTCAGTCATTATTTCTCCCCAGGAAACAGTGCTGTTATGTCGGTAAGTGGTGTGACTCAGTGGTGATGGGACTGTTTGCCTAAGGAATATTCTGTTAACATATTTTTAAATAAAAATTAAGGCAAAAACTTCATGACAGATAACATGCCAAAAACTTATATGTTTAGCTTGCCAGCACAAACTATCAAATCTGAGGTAAAAGGAAAAATGCATGGCTCTCCAAAGTGTTTTGGTATTTTTGGTATTTGCTATTTTAAAAGAATATAGAGCTGGGCACTGGTGTAATCCTCGCTACTTAGGAGGCTGAGATCTGAGGATCACAGTTCAAGGCCAGCCTGGGCAGGAAAGTCTGTGAGACCCTTATCTCTAATATACCACTAGAAAACCAGAAGTGGTGCTGTGACTCAAGCTGTAGAGCACTGGCCTTGAACTGAAGAGCACAGGGACAGCACCCAAGCCCAGAGTTCAAGCCCCATGACTGACAATAAATAAATAAATAAATAACATTGAAAAACAGGCACAATAAAACTTAATTTAGTTTATTTTCATACCAAACCAGAAGTTATAATTTTTTTTCTTGATTTATTTTATTTTATTTTGTACTAGTACTAGGGCTTGAACTCCGGGCCTTAGGTTCCCACTTTTGCTCAAAGCTACTCTTCTACCACTTGAGCCACAGCTGTCCTTATATGGTTTTTTGATGGTTAATTGGAAATAAGAGTCTCTTGGACTTTTCCGCTTGGGTTGGCTTTGAATTTGGATCTTCAGGTCTCAGCCTCATGAGTAGCTAGGATTACAAGAGTGAGCCACCAGTGTCCAGATCTTTTCTTGATTTTTTTAATGCAATACTATTTTAATAATAATAATGCATTCATCAATAATATCATCTAAAATACTTTTGATAAAACTATTATTTCAAAATATACACAAAGACACATTTATAGGAGCACATCTTATTTTTCTTTTGCCTTAGGCTTTACTGTGACTTCACATAAAGCAAGAAACAGTACTTCCTACTTTCTATAATGCATGGCTTGACTTAGAATCTAACGTAGAGCTTTGGCTGTTGTGATCCATTCAATCAAGTGAAACAAGATAGCTTAAGAAGGTTTTCTTTTAATGCTTTTAATTAGTCTAGGAGTTGCATCTGGGCTGATATAAGCTTGGACTTAGATATCTTAAGAACAGAGTCATGAAAGGATACCTGAGGCTTTAAATGACTTTCTATCAAAATCATTTTTTTAATCTTTAGAATAATTTTAAAGTTTAATGTAAACAGAATTCTCAGGAATTTGGGGATGGAGTGACTGTGACTGGGAAGATGTCCTTTGAGGAAAGGAATGGGAGCTGAGGAACTATGCCTTCCTTGGTTTAAATTTGGAAGTAGTATTTCTGAGTCTCTTCCCTTGCAGCTTTTTTTCAATTATTTTTATTCCTTATTTAAAAGAACTTGTTGTACTTCTAAAATTGAAGGCAAAACTGCCACAAACATACTTGGGTCCCAAACCAATTTTTGCTTAACAAGAGGAGATAATTTTGGTCACTTTAAGTTTAGAATAAAAAATAATATTAAGCACCTGGATTCTCTCTCTCTCTCTTTCTCTCTCTCTCTCTTTCTCCCCCCCCCCCCCTCACACACACACATTTTGAAAATCCTTTGGTAAACTTAGGTTCCCTGATGGTACAGAGTTGTATCATTTTTTTAAATGTGTAGTCAGAAATAGGGGTTTGAAAAATGTAAGATATGTAGTTCTTCTTGAAAAGAAAAAATAAAAAGACCCAATGCTGCATTTGCTGCTGGAGCTTTTTGGAAATTACACAAATTGAGTGATCTTTGGAAATTACTCAAATTGAGTGCAATGGGAAGGTTTTGTAGCCAACTAGGAAAAAGCAGATTGCTGAGTGGTGTAAGGGAGATAAAACTCCCTTACTAGTGAGTGCTTTGCAAATGTCCACGTGGAAGTGAGCAGGTAGCAAGCCCAGCTCTGTTATAAATGACATTCTACAGGGTGCACACCTCACTGAGATTGTGGACTTGACATGGGAGGTGGCCTTAGCTAAAGAGGTGAAAGGCTGGGAAGCAACCAAGAGGAGGGACTTCATCTCAAGCAGAAGAAAAGATGCAAAAGCAAAGGGGCTGAGGCAAAAGCACAGAGGCTTTTAAAAAACTAGAGATAGGGCTTAGGCTTTTAAAAGAAAGAGGAAACATTGTGAATGGAAATAGTGAACTGGTGTAAACATTTTCTTTCCAAGCAGACTCTGTGGGAGCCCAACGTGCCCTAGAACTGGAAGGAGCAACTGTCATTCTTTAAATACCCAGAAGCCAGCACACTATGGACAGGCAAGTGAGAGAGATCTCCACTCTCTAGGAAAAAAGAGAGGAAACTTCACCACGTGGGATGCAGATTTTTATTACTTTCAGAGGTCGGGGGAAGTGCTCTATTGAGGGGCTACAAGTCTGAGCTCTCTGGAGGGAGGGGTTTGGAAATGGACTTTAGAGATGATAGGTCCAAATGATTGTCCCTTAGAACTGAACAGATCTTAATGTTCCCTGCAAAATATTTGCCTCTTTATAGGGCGAAACAGACAACTGAGATCCTTCTGCATTTGTCACCTGTTGAAGTTGCTAACCTGAAGGAAGGCATCAATTTTTTTCGAAATAAGAGCACAGGTAAAGACTACATCTTCTACAAGAATAAGAACCACCTGAAGGCATGCAAGAACTTATGCAAGCACCAAGGAGGCCTGTTCATAAAAGACATTGAGGATTTAGATGGAAGGTACTGAAAATCCTTTGCTTTCTCACTGGTGACCCTGTTTGCTCTTAGGGTTGGACAGGAAAGGGGTTCACCTCATAATTTTATTTTTTTCTTATTTACAACTTTAAAAATTATCGTTAAGTAGTTGCACAGGGGGTTTCAATTCAACAAATCAATTTATAAATATAATGCATCTTAATCAATGTCTTTCTCATCTTTCCTAGTGCCACTCATCCCCTGGAGTTACGTGGTTTCATTTTCATATACCTTCATTGAATATTATAACTATTCACTCTTCTCTTCCGCTCTCTATTTGTCTGCCCCCTCTATCCTGAAAATTCCCCCTCAACAAAATAAGTCTCAGCTTCCTGATATTCATTTTGTTCAACTGTTCGTTAGGTGTTCAGAAGAGTTAGTTGTTCAGAGGAGTATCCTGGTAATTTTAAACCAACCAATCAGCTGATTGCTTCCCCTAGTAAGTTTTGTTAAGCTTTACTTTTACTTACTTAGGCTATCTCTCTAAGCCTGAAAATTGTATGTTTTACTTACATTTCTTCTCTCCTTTGAAGAACTTGGGCTGCAAAATTATCCTCAGCTTCTTAAAAATAAAACTTGTAGTTTACAGGTCTCTGTCTCTGAACATTAGGGTGAGGGCATGGGAAGGACACACCCTTTATCTGATGTTTTATTTAGAGACAAGCTTCTTGTACATTTCCTTCCTCCAGTAGTGTCTTTATAGGTGGCTGGAAGGTAGAGAAAAAGCCACTTGTTTTAATCCTGCTGAAAAGCAGATAGACTTTTCTTGGCAACCTAGCTGTGACTACAAAACTTAAGTGGCAGAGGCCCAAGTATCCCTGCCCAAACAGTGGCTCTTCTGATTATTTCTTAGAGAAAGCTCATATAGAGCAATGCTCTCCAGTGCCACAGCAGAATCATTTGTTTTCAGCAACTGCTTGGCAGAGCCAGTAGAGTTCTTACACTATCTGCTCAACTCCAGTAATGCTGTATGAGTAACCCAGCCTTTTACCTTGATTTATGTGATATTAGTCATGTGATGTTGGGCTTTTAAAAAAAATCTTCTAGTATATTGTCTACCTTATTTCTTACGTCCTGTGTAGGTAGACCAGTGTTAGTGTACTTAGAGGAAGCAAATAGCCCAAGTTTCCTGCTACAGTTGTTCAGGAATCATTCACCCAAGTCTAGAACATTTCCACACCTGCATACAAGTGTGCTTTACTGTGTGTATAATTTCACAACCCAGCCCCATATCTTGTTAGATGTTTTTTTGTTTTTTGTTTTTAATGCTGAGACCTTTGTCACACCTGGAGCTTGTTTGGCTCCTCAGCTAGAGCTGCGCAGACCCAAGAGTAACAACAACCCGGTTAAAGTTGCACTGGAGGGCTGGGAATCTGGCTCAGTGTTAGAGTGCTTACCTAGCATGCATGAAGCCCCAGGTTCGAGTCTTCAGTACCACATAAACAGAAAATAAAAAGCCTGAAGTGTTGCTGTGGCTCAAGTGGTAAAGCACTAGTCATGAGCCAAAGAAGATCAGAAACAATGCCCAGAAGCTGAGTTCCAGCCCCAGCACAGGCAAAAACAGCAACAACAAGAACAACAAAATCCAAAATTTGCACTGGAGATAAACAAGGACTGTATGCTTTAGGATAGGCAAATTTGCTCCAGGAGTGTCAGCAGGTAATGTGCTGGCTTGGTGGCTTACCATCTCCCCAGCGGACTAGGGCAAGGAAGCCTTACATCTCCCATCCCTGTGCAGGCTCCATTGCAGTTTGGAGATTTCACTTTTCCTCTTCTCTCTTCACAGTGTGCTCTTAGCTTGTCAGTTAAGTAGGCATTAAAGCCTTGTGGTTAGCATGTCTTTCCTGGATTGCCTCTCCCCACCCCTCCATACCCATTAGCTGGAAAATAAGCTTAAGGTCTATACACTGCTGGGGATTTATAAAAAAAAAAAAGTCTGACCCCCATTGTCAGGTTCCTGAGAGAATAAGACCATGACAAGCAGATTAAACGTATCTAAGAGAATTTCATCTAATGTTACGTGATGAGTGAGCACCTGATAAATATTAATTATTCTTATTATGATGACAAGAGCTTCTTGTGTTTAGGGATTGTTTACAAGGACTCAGATTTCTTTTTTTAGGCCCTACTTGGGTTTGAACTCAGGACTTTGTGTTTGCTAGGCAGGGGCTCTAGCACTTGAGTTACGCTTCCAGTCCCAGGTTATTTCTACATGCAGCTTGCCCATCTAAAGAAAGTGATTGCTTTTAGCAGATTTGCTTTCTCCATTTCAAAGTCTTGAAGGCAACTAACCCTAGTTTTACTCTGTTGTGCCACCAAAGAGCAGTATATTCTTCTAGTCTTTCCTTTCAGAGACCAGCATGCTGAACAAAATATTCCATCTTAATATTTGAAAGGCTGTTGCTACTCATTAATGAGAAAGAATGTGGCATGAAGTAATCCTTTATAAATTGATGTGTGGAATATGCTTCCTGCCTTATAACTAAAAAAGAACATTGAAAATTTTGTATAACCAGGCACTGGTGGCTCAAGCCTGTAATCCTAGCTACTCAGGAGGCTAAGATCTGAGGATTATGATTCAAAGCCAGTCTGGTCAGGAAAGTGTGTGAGACTCTTTTTCCCAATTAACCACCTGAAATCCAGAAATGGAGCTATGGCTCAAAATAGTAGAGCACTAGCCTGAAACAAAAGAGCTCAGGGTCACATTGTAACAATGAGATGTACAATACCACTATGTTGTAAATCCCCACTCCTTCAGGGAGGGGAGTGGGGAGGGAGGAGTTGGGGAGGTGGAGAGGGAAGGGGTAGTAGGGAAAAAACAAAGGAGGGGGTAACAATGCTCAATAGGAAATGTACTCATTACCTTACCTAACTGTAAGGCCTCTGTACAGTATCTTTACAATAAAAAATATATATTAAGAAAAAAAAAGAGCTCAGGGTCAGAGCCCAGGCCCTGAGTTCAAGCCCCATGACCAACAAACAACAACAAAACTTCTGGGTTTAATCAAGTTTGGAAATGTCAGCATGATATGCATATATGTTAACATAGGTAGTTTTAGTATTAGAAATTGGATGCTTCAGGGTCTGGTGATGGTGCATGTCTGAAATCCCAGCTATGCTGGGGGCAGAGATGGGAGGATGGCAGTTTGGGGCCACTTTGAGCAAAATCCAAGATGCTATCTTGAAATAAAATCCAGAAGGGTATAGCCAGGTACACCCATGGTCCCTAGTTACATGGGAGGCAGAAATAGAAACACCATATCCTGAGCCCAGCCCCAAGCAAAAGCAAGGCCCTACTTGAACAGTAAAATGCACTTATCTAGCAAGTGCAAAGTCTTAAGTTCAAACCCCAGTGTGGAAAGAATGAATGAGAGAGAGAGAGAGAGAGACAGAGAGAGACAGAGAGAGACAGAGAGAGAACCACAGTACCACTTCTGTTTTTTTTGGTGTTTAATTGGAGATGAGTCTCATGGACTGGCTTTGAATCACAGTCCTCAGATCTCAAGCCTCCTGAGTAGCTAAGATTACAGGTGTGAGTCACCAGTGCTTGGCTACTTTTTATTTTCACTACATTGTGAAGTTAAATGTGATTTTTTTGCCCATCCAGGTCTGTTAAATGCACCAAGCACAACTGGAAATTAGATGTAAGCACCATGAAATATATCAATCCTCCAGGGAGCTTCTGTCAGGATGAGCTGGGTAGGTACTATCAATGCTGACCAATGTCCTCTGCTGTTATTATTGGGATCCTTCTTGTTGACTTCTGATTTCACATAAAGGTATGGCTAAATTCTGATTTTAAATGGGTTAGATCGCTTTCTAAATAGTTAACATTGAAAAAAAAATCCTAGACAATGGATTTCTTCAGGTATGAGTTCATGTATCTAGGGCTTTGACAAGCATTTGTGGAAACTTACTTTGTATAAACATATTGGATACAAGGGTGGATAAGAAAGTCATTGCCAATGAAGTAGTCATGCAGTGATGACCAAGAAAGTATGTAAACAAGCAAAAATTATGGCCTAGTTTCATGATTCTCAAAAGAAATACAGCTTGCTAAGGAATAGTGGATTTGATCTGGGGATAGTAATTTTGTCTGTGAAGAGTCACAAAATGGCTAGCACTATGTTCATACACACAATAATCCCACCAGTTTGAGGAAACTGTTTGGTTTGGATAAGGAAGTGAGGTACTTGAAATTAGATAACACTTTCTGTCAGGGTTTAGAGTCTAGAGCTGATACACAATTCTCAGAATGTTTCACTCCCTGCCTTCCTACCCAACAAGGACTAGAAATAGGAGTATGAAGAGTTTGTTCCTATGGTTAAACTTGTCTCTATTCCATTAAAGGGCAAGTTACAACAAATCTAATTTTGAAGATGTTAATTAACTTCAATTATTATTCTAGGTAATACATCTACCATATGTGCAGATTTCATTGATAGCCAAATGGAAAAAAGTAATGCAAACAAAAATCCTTGATTGCCTTATACAATCATGTTTTGGGGATTTTCAGCCTCTAATTGGGTAGAGATTCACCTGTTATGATGGGCTGGGAGTCAGTTGCTTGGCTCCAAGGGTATGTACTATATTAGGTTACAGTTTGTTTATAGATCAACCTAGGGTATAATTCTGATGTATTGGGTTGATTTGGGCCAAACTTTTATCGCCAAAATACAATTTTAGGCCACACATCACTTATTTTTTAAGCATTAAAACTTATTCAAATTTTGTTCTATTAGTAGACAATGTTTTAAAAAACACCTTTATGCCAGAAATGGCATATGTTGAGTTTTGACAGAGAATCAGAATTTCCTCAGGTATAGAAGAAATTAAAAGACTTTCATCACAGAACAGCCTGGGCAGTGTGCTATGTGGATAGGATGTAGTTTAGTTGGCTGGAGAGTAGGGCATATACATTGAAGTAGTAAAATACCCCATTGTTCCTTGGCAAAGGCCCCTGGAATCATTTGGTACATAACAGGAGACATGTGCTTCTCATTGACTCTCTTCATCTACTGATGTTCCGTCTTGATAATTTTGTGTGGCCTGAAAGTAATGTAATAATTATCCAAATGACCCCTGGCAGAACAAAGTTTCCCTAGCCCTGCTCTAAGTGATCATATCTACTTCCATGCTATAAACACCATCTCTACTCAAACTCTACCTGGATGATGACTCCAAAGCTGACCCCCACTCTTGATCATATCCCTGAGCTCCAGATGCTGATAATACAACTGCATACTTAATCTAAATAGATTTAAAGACATTGCAAACCCATGTAATGTATGATTGCAGCTTGTCCTCAAAACGATTCCTCCTCTAGCCTGTAAACAGCATCATATCTCCTCAGCTGAAAAGAACCTGGGAGTTGTCAAGTGGTCTTTTTCCTTAAAGTCCCTACATTCAGGGGCTGGGAAGGTGCTCAGTGGTAGAGCGCTTGCCTTGCATGCATGAGGCCCTGGGTTGGATTCCTCAGCACCACATAAGCAGAAAAAGCAGGAAGTGGCTCTGTGGCTTAAGTGGTAGAGCGCTAGCCTTGAGCTGAAGAGCTGAGGAACAGTGCCCAGGTCCAGAGTTCAGGCTCCCTGACCAACAACAACAACAACAACAAAATCCCTACATTCAAATAATTAAGAAGTGACGTTCGCTCTGTACCAAACACCTGCAGAGATTATCCACTTCTCTCCATCTGTACTGTCTCCATCTGAGCTTGAGTCACTGCCCACTTTTGCCTGAGCAGCTGGCTTCCCTGCATCACTGTATAATCTCTCTCTCTCTCTCTTTCTCTCTGCAGTATTGGGATTTGAACCTGCTAGGCAGGTGCTCTACCACTTGAGCCACTTCACCAGTGCATAAACTTTTAAAGACCCAAACCAATTCAAATCATTTTTCAACTCATCCCCTCTCCCTCCAGTGGCTTCCTATCATACTTAAAAATATAGGTATTATAGGGAAAAAAGTGGGAGAAAAATGAGGGAGGGTTAACATTGTTCAAAAAGAAAGATCATCATTACCTGTACATAATCCCTCTGTACATCACCTTTACAATAAAACTTAAATGAAAAGAAGAAATGATGACAACTTAAAATGCTGAACAATTAGGCCATTAGAGTGTAAATTCTAAAAATAATAATAATATAGGTATTGTTTGGCTCAGCCAAGACTATATCCCAAGAAAATAGTTGCTGGCATGTCAAAAGACAGAGCTGCCAGGTGCTGGTTGCTCACACCTGTAATCTTAGCTACTCAGGAGGTTAGGATCTGAGGATTACACTTTGAAGCCAGCCCAGGCAGAAGAGTCTCCATGAGACTCTTATCTCCAATTAACCACTCAAAAATTGGAAGTGGTACAATTGCTCAAGTGGTAGAATGCTAGCCTTGAGCATAAAGAGGCCCAGGGACAGCACCTAGGCCATGAGTTCAAGCCCTACAACCAACCACAACAAAAAAAAAGAGACAGAGCTGTAGGAATGTTAATTTGAAAGAATTTGCAAAAATACTATTTACAAACATATGTATATATTTTTTCTTTTTTCTTTTTTTTGTCGGTCGTGAGGGCTGAACTCTGGGCCTGGGCACTGTCCCTCAGCTCTTCAGCTCAAGGCTAGCGCTCTACCACTTGAGCTGCCTCTTCTGGCTTTTTTCTGCTTATGTGGTACAGAAGAATTGAACTCAGGACCTCATGTATGTGAGGCAAGCACTCTATCACTGAACCAACTTCCCAGCCCATATATTCTTAAATATTAGATATATTTCTGCTAGATCCTAAGAATGATACTTTTGAAGGAAATGAAAAGAGCATTTCTGACATATAAGCCAAAAATTAATTTATAAGCATTCCATATAGTACAACCCATTTATGAAAGATATAAATAAGTGCGTATGGACAGTCTCAGCAGCTGAGCAGGGGCTTCTCGGCTGTATTTTTGTCTTTGAGTACACTGCCTTTATATGTTTATAAGACACAAATGGTTGTGACTATAGTAAATGATATGAAGTATCAGGGCCATCCTCACTCAAATGTCTCTGTTATACCAGCTTGAAATTACTTTGAAAAGTACCTTTCCCAGACTATCTCCAAGTTGCTCTAGGGACAAAGCAGCCTTTGTCATTCACTTCAAGGAAACAGAATACTACCCTGGGGGGTGGTTTGCTGATTGCTTTGCCTACAATTCATCTTTTCACTTCTCAAAGGGATACCTGGACCAGTAATTATTTTCTCCAGTAACCCTTAACTTCCAGTCTGTGGACCTAGCCCAGAAAGCACACATTAATGTCTTGATACTAGGAACTTGTAATCAAGCTATATAAATACTATTAACTTTATTTGGCACAATACTGATAAGAAACATAGATTTAGACATAACCATTTTGTAAATGAAAGGAAATAGACTATAAACTTTATGAATATGTAACCTAGAACTCTACAGATGACTTAAGGACTTTATGAGAACCTTTACTGTCTATTGGACAAGACCTGTATAAAGACACTATAGCAAGGCCACGAAGGGTGAAGGTGAACCTGAGCTGGAACTTTCCAACTTAGGTTCTAGTCCTGACTGTATGAAGCTTGGTGCATTACTAAATCTCTTTGTGCTTTACTTTCCTGAAATTGGAGATTATATTTTCAGGAGTCATCTGATTGGATTGCTTTAAGAATGCCTAAGTTTGGCAGGTGTGGTGGCTCATGCCCTGTAATCCTAGCTACTCAGGAGGCTGAGATCTGATGATTGAGGTTCAAAGCTAGCCTGGGTTTCTTCTCTCCAATTAACCACCAGTAAACAGGAAATGGCACTGTGGCTCAAGTGGTAGAGCGCTAGCCCTGAGCTGAAGAGCTCAGGGACAGTGCCCAGGCCCCTGAGTTCAAGCCCCATGAGAGAGAAAGAGAGAGAGAGAGAGGGAGGAGGGAGAGAGGAAGAGAAGGGGGAGAGGGAGAGGGAGAAGGAGAGGGGAAAGGAAGGGAAAGGGAGAGAGAGGAAGGGGGAGAAAGAAAGAAAGAAGAAAGGAAGAAAAAAAAGAAAAGAAAAGGAAGGCATTGTCTACCTAGGGATAGGTTATCAGCTAGGAGTATTTATTTAGTTGTTCATATATAAATTAATATATGCCCATAAGAAGAATCTCACCTATTCTCGCATCACTTAAGTAGTCTTGATATATATTATTCCAGTGTTTCATGCTGTTCTAATTCTCCCCTTCCACTTCCTCCTTTACACTCCTCCTTCTTCTCTTCCTCCTCTTTCCCCTTTATCTGCCTCTTCCTTTGCTGCTCCTCCTTCTGTTTCTTCTCCTTCTTGAGAAATAACTAATACCACTGAAGTTGCCCTTTTGAAAGCATGCAACTTAATGATTTGTGTTAAATTCATAGTTATACAACCATGATTGAATTCCAAAACATTTCTACCACTCCAAAAAAGAACTGTAATTTTTACCAATCACTCCTCATCCTCCATTTTCTTCCAGCTTCTGGCAATCACTGATCTACCCTCTATATTTATGCATTTTCCTTTTTTGGATATTTCATCTATTGGACATCAAACAACATATGTATGGCCTTTTGTGTCTGACTTCTTTTACTTCATATGTATTCAAGATTCATTTATTTTGTAGCATCTGTCATTCTTTTTTGGATGTCATTCAGGGCCTCATGCTTGCTAGGCAGGTACTCTACCACTTCCAAACCCCAGTTCTTTTTTTTTTTTTTTTTGCTTTAGTAACTCTTTGATTTTATTTTTTATTTTTATTTTTATTTTTTGTGAACATACTGTACAGAGGGGTTACAATTACAATGGCAAGATAATGAGTACATTTCTTATCAAGCATTGAACTCTTTGATTTTATATATGTATCTATTTAGATATTCCATGGAAATTATTTCCAGCACTGTTAAATGTAAACATTTTCCTTAGACTTTATACTCTAGTTAATCATTCATTTTAATGATTTGGTTACCTTCCTTTGTGTATTTAATCAACTAGAAAATTTAATAAAGCAAATACCACAGCAGCACTTGTTTGATAGCCTACCAATATACAATAGCTGCTTTATAACAAACCAACTGGATGTACAGTTAAAATCTAGTATTTCACTGTTCTACACCATTAGCCAATAACTTGGTTATTACAATTTTCTGATATGTTTTTGTTCTTATTCTCCTTCAGCATTGTTCATCAACAAAAACTTTAAAGAATGTTATTTGTTTGTTCTTTCTGGCTGTTAGAGTATAACCCAAATAACCTGGATTTTATCTGAATGTGAGGTCAGATGAAGGGCATCACTTTCTTATTATGTTCTTTTGGGGGCAGAGAGTTGACAAACATTATGCCACATTGTTCTTCATTCAACAAATTCATCAATTTATCTTTGTGCAAGGATCATGAAGACCTCTATAGTAATTGCTGAAGAATAGTGGTGAAGCATTACAGATTATTTTATTTATTTATTTTGTTGTCGTTGTTGTTGGTCATGGGTCTTGAAGTCTGGGCCTGGGCACTGTCCCTCAGCTCTTCAGCTCAAGGCTAACGCTCTACCACTTGAGCACCATTTCTGGTTTTCTGGTGGTTATTTGGAGATAAGAGTCTCACCGACTTTCTTGCCTAGGCTGGCTTTTAAACGCAATCCTCAGATCTCAGCCTCCTGAGTAGCTGGGATTATAGGCATGCGCCACCAACGCCTGGTTCTTTTACACTTTTTTAGGAGAGAAATGTTGGAAAAAGGAAAGTCCTTGTGAGTAGGTATCAAAGCAAAAGATTTTTTTTAAGGATCTCCCTGTTTTCTAAGTAGCCTCTGCTAGTACATCAGCTGGTTTATCACATAAAGAACATCTTTCCTAACTCCATTCTTATCTTATTTTTATTATTATTACAAAGGTTACAGTTGCAAAAGTCAAGCACACTTCTTTTTGGACAAAATCACTCTTTTCCTTGCTTTCTCCTGTTTTTTTTTTATAACTCCATTCTTTTTTTTTTTTTTTTTTGTCAGTCATGGGGCTTGAACTCAGGGCCTGGTACTATCCCTGAGCTTTATTGCTCAAGGCTAGTGCTCTGCCACTTTGAGTCACAGTGGTAATAGGAGATAAGAGTCTCATGGACTTTCCTGCCGAGGCTGCCTTTGAACCACAATATCTCAAATCTCAGCCTCCTAAGTAGTTAGGATTACAGGCGTGAGCCACCAGCACCAGGCTCCTAACTCCATTCTTTTAAATGTAAAATAATTGCTATAATAATGATACTTATTAAACACTTGCCCTGTATTAGGCATGGTACTAGATTCTTTAGAATTCATTATTTCATTTAATATCTACAACTATATAAGGTATGTAATCATAATTCATCTACTAGTTCCCAGAGTACAACCTTCCATGGAAAGAACCAAAGTAAAACAGCCTGACCTTATAGTCTCTCCAGGTTCTCCTAATAGGCTTCCTGATTGCAAAATCTACCCAAAAAGCCTAGAGGGAAGGGCCCTACCACGCGGTCTGTCTGAGGAGGTGGGCAGTGGTGGAGCATGCAGAGGAATGTGGAGTGACAGAAAACAGTGGGAGATAACACTGGTTTCCAATTTTCAAAGTCATTTTTTGAAAAGGAAGATGGACTATTTATAGTTCATATTGAGCTAATACTATAGTTAAACTACAGCATCAGGTGCTAGTTCTGGGCAGAAGTAGTGCTTATGTTGTGAAATAAAGGGCTGTGTTCAGACAGTCTTGGGGAACAAGAAATGAACACAATCAATTCAACAAATATTTAATAAGTCCTATACATGATAAGCTCTCTTTGGAAGTAGATAACTATAACAACGCCAAAGGATAGAAAAATTAAGTAACTTGTCCATGGTCATGCTATTAGGTGGGAAAGTATAAGCCCCAAACAAAGCCACGTGTCCCCCAAGTCTATGTCCATCTGTGCTGAAGGCCTCCCAGCAATACAGAGAGACCTCCAGAATGCTATCCTGCCTCTCTCCAATTCATCCTCCCTATTGCACACACACACTGACCTTTCTAAAAGTAACTTCTGACTTCGTTGCTTTCATGCCGTAAGAAGTAGGGATTGCTTTATGGCAGTAACCAAATAGCAATGGCCTAATCTTGCATAGGGTTCTTTTTCTGTTTTCCTCTTTCTCTTGTATCACACGCAGGTGGAAAGCAGATTGTAGGAAATAGGATGGTTTATTGTTTATCAAGGATTCAACATCATTTCTGACTTTCAGCTAGCTCATCTTTATGTGTAGGTTTTTTTAATCTCAGGGTCTCAAGATGGCTTCTGCACCTACTGACAGAGCAGCCAACTTAAATAAGAAAGGGAAAGGTTGAAAGGAAATGGCACAGGCACCTGTTGTTTGTTCCAGTTTGTCAGGCACTAGTGGCTCAAGCCTGTAATCCTGGACATTCTGTAGGCTGATATCTGAAGACTATGGTTCTAAGCCAGTTAGGGCAAGAAAATCCATGAGACTTTTTTTGGGGGGGGGGGTCTGGTCGTGGGGCCTGAACTCTGGGCCTGGGCACTGTCCCTCAGCTCTCCAGCTCAAGGCTAGCGCTCTACCACTTGCGCCACAGCGCCACTTCCTGCTTTTTTCTTTTTTGGTGCTGAGGAATCGAACCCAGGGCCTCATGCATGCAAGGCAAGCACTCTACCACTGAGCCACCTTCCCAGCCCATCCATGAGACTTTTGTCTCTAGTTAACCACTAAAAGGCCAGATGTGGAACTGTGGTTCAAATGGTAGAATGCTAGACTTAAGCAAAAGAGTTCAGGGACAATGCCCAGACCCTGAGTTCAAGTCCCAGAAACATGCGCGCGCGCATGCGCACGCACACACACACACACACACACACACACACACACACACTCCTTTAAATTCCATCAGACTGGGTCTCATCCCTTTTCCATCCATTATCGTAAGTCTTTGTTTCCCCCCAAACAAATCATCTTTCATGTCTAGATGTAGGGCTATTTTAGTTGAAATCTGCTTGGTGTTTATAAGCAGATCAGGTATTCCTTTCTGTGCACTTAGAGCTCCGTGCACTCATCTGCGTCATTTATTTTATTACAATAAAGTTAGTGTGTTTGTGCATGTCTGTGTGTGTCCCTTACATGACTGGAATCTCTGAGTTGTTTTAAGTGTAATGTGAATAAGAGAAGTGACTGCTATTTGACTAAATCTCTTGTCTCAGGATATATTGTTTGACTCAAGAGACTGTTCCCTTTGATTTTTGACACTGTGTACTCAGACCATACATGGCTATTTCAGCGTTACTTTATTAAAGGTCGTGTTTTTACAGCTCTTGATTTCTTTCTCTTTGGTTCCAGTGGTTGAAATGGATGGAAACAATGGTCTTTTACTTCTAGAACTGAACCCTCCTAATCCCTGGGATTCAGATCCTAGGTCTCCTGAAGATTTGGCATTCGGGGAAGTGCAGGTAAGGAATATAAAAGGGTAATATTTTAAGCAACAAAATAATAAAAATAGTATCAAACTTTAGATGTTTAGAAATTATCGTTATGCTACATCCTTGTCGAACAGAGTGGTGTCTTTAGTTTTTGTTTGCTTATAACAAAATACCCAAGTCTAGGTACTTTATAGGATAAGGGTTGATTTCGCTCATATTCCTGCAGCTTCAAAAGTATGGCCTTGGCATTTACTCAGCCCTGGTCACAGTTTCACAATGTAGAATATCGCAATGGCTGGAGTGGATGTAAGGGTCACATAGCACATGAAAAAGAGAGAACCAAGAGAGGCCAGCCTCCTTTACAATAGACCATTCTCATCAAACAAGAACTATAGTCATCTCTTCTGAGAGGACAACGTCTCAAGTGAAGCACTTGTCTCCCAATGGGGTCTGTCTCTTAAAGGTCCCACCACCTCTCAACAGTCAGTACTGGACACTAAGCTTGCATCACAAGAACATTTAGGGAACAACCCACACTCAAACCACAGCCAACAATTAGCCATTTATCTTTGTTTGCATCTTGCCATCTGGTCTTCTATGAACATTCATGCATGTTTTTTTTTTCTAGTGGTACAAGGGAGTTTCCAAAGAAATAATTTAGTAGTTTGGAAGAGATAAGCAAAGCAAACATTTATCTTTCCACGTGTGGGAAACTTGTAGTATATTTGAACATTGCTCTTTCTTTATCTATTTTAATTTCTTTATTGAGATTAAGTGATTACATAAATTTCACCACATTGTGGGATAGTGATACTTAGCTAAAGTCACAAACACATTTTAACCTTCACAAGGTGAATTGTCATTATCATTGTCTCTAAAGTGTATGAACTCTACACACTTGGACAATACAACTATTCCTTCCAAATAGGGTGATATATACATTTCTTTCCTTTTGCTTAGTGTAAGCTGTTCCCTCTTTCTCTCTCCATCCCTCCCTCCCAGTGCTGCCCTTGAGTTGCTTAATTCACTTTCATCAATGTCCAGTGCAGCTGATGGGCCTCTCTGCTGTATTTTTTCACCTGTTTCCTTCTGATTTGGTGCCCTCCTCCTGGCTTCCCTCATACATGCATATATATATATATATATATATATATATATATATATATATATTTCATATGTGGACATAGAATCATCTAAAAACAATATGACAAATTAAGAAGAGGTCCTTTGTTTCTTAAGTCCTGTTTACTTTGTCATATCTTGTTGCATTTTGAATTTAATATCTGCATATCAGAATGACTATGTGCTGCTTGCCTCTCTGATTTTGGCTTATTTTGCTCAACATGATTTGTTCTAGTTCCATTTATTTCCCTGAGAATGCCATTCGTTTGTTCTTTCTAATGGCTGTGTAATATTCTATTGTATATAGCTACCACAACTTATGGATCCTTTCAGCTGGGGCATCTGGGTTGTTTCCATATCTTGGCTATTGTGAACAGTGCAGCAATGAACATGGAGGTGCATGTGTCCTTGTATCCTGATTCCTGTTATTCAAGGTAGATGCCTAGGAGTGGTACGGCTGGGTCGTATGGAAGGTCTATGTTTAGTTTTCTGAGGAATCTCCAGATTGATTTCCAGAATGGTTGTATTAGCTTACATTCCCACCAGCAATGCAGTAGGGTTCCTCTTTCTCCACATCCCTGCCAGCATTTGTTGTTGTTTGAATTTAGGATATAGGCCATTCTGACTGGGGTCTGACTGGTGGTATCTCAGGGTTGTTTTTATTTACATTTCCTTTATGGCCAGGGGTGATGAACATTTCCTCATGTATTTCTTTGCCATTTTTTATCTCTTTTGAGAAGTATCTCTTTAGCTCCCTTGCCCATCTAATGACTGGTCTTTTAGATTTGGGAGGGATTAGTTTCTTGAGTTCCCTATATATAATGGATATTAGGCCTCTGGTATATTGCTGATAAATATCTTTTCCCAATTGGTTGGCTGTCTTTCTAGTTTTGTAGCTATGTCTTTAGCTGTGCAGAAACTTTTTAATTTAAGGTAGACCTATTTGTCAAGTCTTTTCCAATTTGTTGTTACCCTGAGACTCTCTTTGGGAAGTTCCTGACTTTGCCTACAAGTTTTAGTGTCTCTTCTACTCTGTCCTTCAGGAGTTTCAGAGTATCAGGTTTGATGTTGAGGTCTTTAATACATTTTGAGTTGATGTTAGTGCATGGTGATAGGCTGGGATCCACTTTTAGTTTTTCTGCATGTAGCCGCCCAGTTTTCCCAGCACCAATAGTTGTCCACTGTATGTCTTTGTCTCCTTTGTTGAATATCAGCTGACTGTAAGTATGTGGTTTTATTTCTGGGTCTTCTGATCTATTCCATTGGTCTTTGGGTCTATTTTTGTGCCAACACCAAGCTGTTTTTGTTATTATGTCTCTATAGTTGAGCTTGAAATCTGGTATTGTGATACCTCCAGCATTGCTTCTTTTGCCCAGAATTGCTTTGGCTATTCTAGGTCTTTTGCTGTTCCATATGAATTTTTGGATTGTTTTCTCTGTTTCAGTAAAGAGCGTCATTGGGATTTTGATGAGATTTGCATTGAATTTGTATATCTTTTTTGGCAGTATGGCCATTTTCACAATATTGATTCTGCCTATCCAAGAACATAGAAGGCCTTTCCATTTCCCAGTGTCCTACTTGATTTCTTCCTTTAGCCTTTTATAGTTTTCACTAAATAGTTTCACCTTTATATCTTTGGTTAGGGTAATTCCTAGATATGTTTTTAGGTCATTGTGAATGGGTTGTTTTCCTGATTTCTCTTTCTGCTTGTACATAGTTAGTATACAGAAAGGCAACTGATTTTTGTGGATTAATTTTGTATCTTGCTACTTTGTCAAAGTGGTTTATTAGTTCTAGGAGTTTAGGGGTGGAGTTTTTGGGGTCATTTAGGTATAAGATCATGTTATCTGCAAATAGGGATAGTTTTATTTCTTCCTTCCCTATGTGGATCTCTTTAATGTCCTTTTCTTGCCTTATTTCTCTGGCTAAGAATTCCAGAATTATGTTGAAGAGGAGTGGAGAAAGTGGGCATCCTTGATTTTAGAGGAATTGATTTTAGTTTTCCCCCATTTAGTATGATATTGGCTGTTCTTCTGTCATACATGGCTTTTATTATGTTAAAGAATGATCCTTCTATTCCAGTTTTCTTCAGAGGTTTTAACATGAATGGGTGTTGTATGTTGTCAAAAGCCTTTTCTGAACCAATAGAGATAATCATGTGGCTCTTGACCTTGGCTCTGTTGATGTGATGACTTACATTTTATTGATTTACAAACAGTTACTTTTTAAAAGAAACAAATGGAAACCCATCCAAAACTGAAGTACAGAAAATTGATTTGACACTTTGACTGCTCCTCACCTATTTTGTTTACTTTTCATACCAGAATTCCTGTTACCTAGCTGCTTCTTCATACATTCTTTTCCTACAGGATACCTCAGGATGAGGGAGGCAAAGGAATGAAGGGATGGGTTAGGAATTCTCCCTTCGGTGTATGTCATAAGTCATGGGAGCATTCTCAGAGATTGAGCAGGTCATTTAGAAGACATACAGGTCTCTTTAGCTGCTTAACAGTCCAGTCTGTCTGACTATATCAACCCACCCAACTCATTGGAAGTTATTCCTTTCTGTTTCTCTTTGTGGTTGTGCTTTGAAGAATGGGTCACAAAATGTTCTCTAGGGTAAGTAAGTATTTAGCAACTAATTTAAATAGATTAAAACTAGATAAACATGAAAGCCAGTCTTGAAAGTTTTGATTTTAATAGGGTCATGACCTGTGCTGGGAGTTGTAATCCATTTAAGGCTCTTGTTAAATTGTAGTAAAGTCCAAGATTAAGTTGCTTTGAAACAAGGTTCTCTACTTGACTTGTAATATTGAAGTAGCCAAATCTTACCCTTAACATTAATGAATACTAATATTTTAATCATAGGAATCTTACTTTCTTCTAACAGATAACATATCTCACTCATGCCTGCATGGATCTCAAGTTGGGAGACAAGAGAATGGTCTTTGACCCTTGGTTAATTGGTCCTGCTTTTGCCCGAGGATGGTGGTTGCTCCATGAACCTCCATCTGATTGGCTGGAGAGGCTGTGCAGAGCAGACCTAATTTACATCAGCCATATGCACTCAGATCACCTGAGGTAATCAAACCTAAACAATGTACTCCTAAGATACCGTTACAACAAAGGCATCATCTTTGGAAGTAGGTTGGTTTGAGATAAAGAAAAGAGACCAAGACAACGATAAATACTATATTTACATGGCAGTTGGGGTTTTAAAATTGTTTCTACACTTTCTACCATTGGGAGTGAGAAAGGTGTTATTGTGAGAAAATACGGTTAACAACCTCACTTTGCATCCTCAGATCACTTGGCACAAACCTAGGCTTAAGGGTCATGAAAGTTGACACATGAAAAAAAATGCCAGTGTCCACAGGCATGCCCCTAAATCCAAAAATCAGGAGGCTGAGGCAGGAGAATCATGAGTTCAAGGTCAGCCTAGGCTATTCAGTGAGATCCATCTCAAAGAAAAACAACAGCAAAAACAAAACAACAACATCAAAACAACCATCAAAGAAAGTGCTAATGGACCAGTACAAATATTTGGCACCTTGTATGCCATGTCATCTGTGCTATAGCTCACTGGATGGACTTTACCATCACAGCACAAGAGCAGCTATAGATAGTCTTGAAATGAAAATGAGAACTACTATTTCAGTAAGACTTCATTTATAGAAAATAACATATGAATATCATAGTTTTCCTGTACCATTAAAACAATTGTTCCTTTGATTTTCTTTACAAAAAAAATCATCCTTGGGGCTGGGAAGGTGGCTCAGTGGTAGAGCGCTTCCCTTGCATGCGTGAGGCCCTGGGTTCCATTCCCCAGCACCACATAAGCAAAAAGAAAAAAGCCGGAAGTGGTGCTGTGGCTCAAGTGGTAGAGCGCTAGCCTTGAGCTGAAGAGCTGAGGGACAGCGCCCAGGCCCAGAGTTCAGGCCCCACGACCAGACCCAAAAAAAAAATCATCCTCAATTGGCTCTCAAACTATAGTTTGCCAGGCCTTCTTTTATGACACCCTAGCATTGTGTTCCTAGATTTTATTAATACTTATTAATCAGACACTTGAGTGAAAACATAATGATGTGATATTGATGATCAAGCAGAAACTTCTCTAACCCAGGCCTTGAAAAGGAGAGAAAGGAGAACTTTTCACTTAAGCAAATACACAGGGCTGAGAATGTGGCATAGTAGTAGAGTGTTTGCCTAGCATACATGAAGCCCTGGGTTGGATTCCTCAGTATGGCATAAACAGAAAAACCCAGAAGTGGAGCTGTGGCTCAAATGGTAGAGTGCTAGCCTTGAGCAAAAGAAGCTCAGGGACATTGCCCAGGCTCTGACAAGCCCCAGAACTGGCAAAAGAAAAGAAAAAAGAAAGCACACATTTTTTTTTGAATGAACCAATTTTTTTAGGAGAGGGTGGATCACATTTCCAAATTCTTTGCTTAATTTCAGAGTCATTTTTCTTCATCATGGTTTGGAAGTTTTTAAGCACTTTTCTGGTTCACCAGTATATGCACATAGCAATCCCCACAATGTACTAAAGTAATTTCACGTATCCCATGGTCCTACCTACATGACAAAGTTTACATGTAGAACATACTCTGTGGTTAAAAATAATACATTGGTTCACAGAATTTTTGAGATTTTGAACCTGTTTGGGGAGAGAAAACTTACCTCCCCCATACCAGATAACAATGTTAACATAGGGTATTAATACAGTTGATAAGTGCTGATACATTGATATTGTTCATACATTTCTTATGACTATACATTTCATTTCACCTCACATTATTCTCCACCTGCTAGCCTGATTCTTAATGTAGAGAGCACAGTGATTAAAGTTAGAAACTATCTTTTGATAAAACAACACTAGGTTTAGAATCAGGAAACCCAAATTTGAGTACCAATGTTTTGTTTGTTGCATCTTTTTGAATGTGTTTCCTCATCTACAGAAACAAAAAAATCTCAGTGTTTTTTTATATATATAAGAATGAAATAAGCCAGGTGCCAGTGGCTTATGCCACTCAGATCTTAAGAGGCTGAGATCTAAGGATCACATTTGAAGCCAGCTCAGGCATGAAAATTCATGAGACTAAATGGTATAGTCTAATAATAAAGAGGAACCTTCCAGGAAGGGCCACTCACTGTTGCAGTCTACCTTTGAGCAGAAACTCTTTTCTTGAGTCTATTAAAAGCCCAATTTTTATTATTCTAGCTTTTTGGTTGATGTGTTGGTTTAATGAAGAAGCTGTCTCATATTAGATAACACCCTTTCACTCTTTCAACATGTCTATCTGTCTGATCATAGTTATCCTACCCTGAAGAATCTTTCTGTGAGAAGACCAGATATCCCCATTTACGTAGGTGATACAGAAAGACCTGTATTTTGGAATCTAGATCAGAGTGATGTCCAGTTAACAAATATCAATGTCGTACCATTTGGAATATGGCAGCAGGTAAGAGAACTGTTCTCTTTCCACACTTTGTCATGTTTCTGAGGTTAATTTTAGATGAGTTAAGTCACCTGGAGATTAAAGGAGAGAATGACCCATGTTTCTACATGAGACTTGATAAATACTACCTTTATTTATGTTTCCATTGTTAGGTATTGGTAAAAGATGGATTTCTTTCCATTGACCAATAGTATAACTGTATAAAATATAGTAAGAATCCATTCTTTTTCCAAGTAAGAGGAATTGTCTTGTTTAAGTTCTGATGTACCAGTCTTTCCAGAAGTGACAAATTTCTCAAATATTGAATTAGGTGAGGCAGGGAGAGTGGTAGAAGGGCTTAGAGGGGTTGAAATGCAGTTTGAGATATAACAATGAACACACTCCTCCTCCCCCCCCCCCGCTTACATAACTAATATAGGCGAATATAAATTAGACAAAAACACTGAGGTAAATGCCAAATACAGTTGTCTCTGTTGTTAAATTCCAGGTAGACAAAAATCTTCGATTTATGATCTTGATGGATGGTGTTCATCCTGAGATGGACACTTGTATTATTGTGGAATACAAAGGTATTTTCTTATCTTTCTCAATAATGAAAAATGGAAAATGTGGAGGGTAGAAAAAATGGTAATAAAGTCTAAAATATCATCCTGTATTTACCTTCTCATAATTTTTAGAGAACATAGGATATTCTGTACTCTTCTTAGAAATATGACCAATCTTTAGATACTCTTTCCAGTCAACAAATTTCCAATAATGTATTGAATATGAAAGCCTTTAGCATAAGGGTATTAGTTAATACCCTTAAAATAACTATAATATTGGCTGGGAATGTGGTTCAGTGGTAGAGTGCTTGCTTTGCATGCATGAGGCCCTAGGTTCGATTCCTTAGTACCACATAAACAGAAAAAGCCAGAAGTGGTGCTGTGGCTCAAGTGGCAGAGTGCTAGCCTTGATCGCAGAGAGGCTCAGGGATGGTGCCCAGGCCCTGAGTTCAAGTCCCAGGACTGGCAAAAAGAAAACAACTATAATATCTCTAATGATATCTTTGAAACTATTTTTATTGAATAAATCCCTTTAGTTGCTTTTATTGTGAAACATTTTCTGGTAACCAAAATATACTTTGGCTTTTTGTGTGAGAACAAGGTTTTATTGCCCCAATAATCATTTGAAATAGGGCCTTTGCAAAAGGCTTGTGTTGTTCTAACCTTTCTTCCTTGCATCCTTTGGACTCAAACCTACAGACAGTTGAAGAAAGCAATCTATCTATGATCCAGATAGAATCAAGCTCGTTGTCTCCATGATATATTCAGAATCTACCTAGTCAAATGGAATGAATATATTCGCTTTAAAAGTTAGAATATACTATGGAAGACTTTAGCTTTTTAAATCAAATTTGAAATCAATTATTTTATAATCAAATAAGTCAGATGATACAGACTCTGTTGGTTTGGCCATTCAAATCAATATTCATGATTTTACTTTGAGTACTCATCCCATTTTGTCTCTTCACAGGTCATAAAATACTCAATACAGTGGACTGTACCAGACCCAATGGAGGAAGGCTGCCTGAAAAAGTTGCTCTCATGATGAGTGACTTTGCTGGAGGAGCATCAGGCTTCCCAATGACTTTCAGTGGTGGAAAATTTACCGGTAATCTTTTATATCAAAGTGTTTCCAAGCATCAGTGACGGCACTTTGCTCAATGCTCTGAGAACGCATGCAAAGATAATTGACATGTGAATTCCTCCCCACAAGAAGCTGACACTCTTATAGGGAAACCACACTTGTAAACTGTAGAGGTTACACACTAAAGTTGCCCACTCAAATGTGATGATGAAGGAGACAGTAAGATCAGGGAACACCTCAATGACAGCCAAGAGAAAGTATCATTTGGACTCATGGTATGGACCATGAAACAGGACAGGGTTGGTATGAAACTGGCCACTCAGAGTGAAATGTTCTTGAATGGCGTCCAGAATGGGGTATGTGAAACAGCATGGGCACATCCTGTTGGGCCACGGGGGTTAGTGGCATAACCAGAAGTGGACCTTCTAAAGTGTGGGGTTCCAGGCAGGAACTCTTCTGCCCTGGACCCAAGCATGGTGCTACAGTTGGCAATGTAAATGTAAAGTGGGATATTTCATTCCTTTTGGTATCTCAGCACTAGCATTTGCAAGTACTCAATATTTCCAGTTAATGAATTGTGATGTTTGGTCAAATGATCTCTACCAAGCAGTAGCAGAAAATGGAATGCAGATTGCCTCTGTCTTGTTCCATGTTTTCTTCTATAAATCAATACCCATAGCTTTTCAGAGTGTGTAATTACATGAGAAAAAGAGAGAAGGCTCTGTCTTTTAGGAGGTCACAGTTTGATTTGGGATGTAAAAATATACTTGTTAAGTATTAGCTAACACATTCACACAAGTACAGAGATGTGCATTTAAAATGATTAATATAGCTGTACCTGGTTTATGAACAACTTTGATTTTTTTTCTCTTCTATGGCTTTATCTTGGTTTGTTAAATTTTCATAGAAATAGTAACAGTTCCCTGATCCTTTAGATCTTTTCTTCCTAATTCCACACTTTCCTTTCCTTCCTCTTTCCTGTGCTCTCAATTAGCCCACACCAGACTGCCTTTATTCCTCAAACTCAATTTCTACAGTGCATTCTTGTCTCGTGCCTTTGCATTTGCTCTGTCTACTCCCTGGCGTCCTCTCTGTTAAATTCCACGTGGCCAGCAACTTGTTGCCCATATCTTCAATTCAGTTGCCATGTGTTCTCTGACTATCCTGTCTAATAATGGCCTTCATTGTCTATACTCTTGCCCTAAACACTCTATCCTTGGCCTGCTTTACTCTATCTGTAGCATATTACTCTTTACGATGACTGGATTGATGCACTTCCCTCACAGAAGCAAATGATCCACAAAAGCAGGAAGAATCTGCTTTGTCTTGTTTACTGTCATAATCCTAGTGCCCAGAACTGCATCAGACCTATAGTAGATACACAATAAATCTTGGCTGAAAGAAATGAAGAAGTGGACGGATGAATGATCTTGTGAGATGGGTACTATTCCTCCATTTACAAAGGAAGAAACAGATGTAGAAAAGTTAGGTCGTTTAGTCATTGCTGTACAACTGGTAAGTGGGGGAATGTAGAGGGAAAGAACTTTGATCTCAAATGCGACCCTACCTCTGGGCTCTTACTCACTGTGCATTGACAGGTTATAACAAATGTTTTACTTTTATCATATGCTAAGATATTAGTCACTTGTTTGTTAAAGGCTAATGATTACATCTTTAAAATACACTTGTAGCCAGGTGCCAGTGGCTCACATAGTCTATAATCCTATATACTTAAGAGGCTGAGATCTGAGGATCACAGGTCAAAGCCAGCCCAGGCAGGAAAGTTATTGGTGACTCTTCAATTAAGTAGCTCAAAGTGGTAGAGTATTAGCCTTGAGTAAAAGACCTCTGGGAGGGAGGGAAGTGAGGGTAGGGGAAAAACAAAAGAGGAGGTAGCAAGGCTTGATAAGAAATGTACTCATGACCTTGCTCATGTAACTGTAACCCCTCTGTACAGTAGTTTTACAATAAAAAGGTATTAAAAAAAGACCTCAAGGACAGCGCCCAGGCCCTGAGTTCAAGCCCCATGACTGACTGCCCCCCATATATATATATATACATATATATTTATTTATTTATGTTATATATGTGTGTGTGTTACATATACTTGAATGAAGGTATGAATAATGAATATTCTGACCTGTGTATTTAGCTAGGATCCAAGCCAAAGGATCACAAATATGGAGACAATTGAGTACCTTTGGCTGATCTGATAACATTTTTCTTGTAATCAAGTATGAATAAAAGTTGCATAATAAAGATAGGAAGATATCCCAGACTCAGAAGAGAGAAATTTTCTCTCTCATTTATTATCTATCAATTTTCTCTCGTGAACAAGTTCAGACTACTAGAATATTGGTTTTACAGTGATTTCTGAACAGAAACGACTCTAACCCAAATCCTGTCATTTCAGAGGACTGGAAAGCCCAGTTCATTAAAACAGAAAGGAAGAAGCTATTGAACTACAAGGCCCAGCTGGTGAAGGACCTGCAACCCCGAATTTATTGTCCTTTTGCTGGCTATTTTGTGGAGTCCCACCCATCAGACAAGTATGGCTAGATATTTTGTACATTATCTCTAATATCTATTTTTACACATAAGTTAATGTGTGGTAGAATGAGTGATTTGGCTGTGATTCAATGTGAAGTAAGAAATAAAGTGAAGGTAGAAATCTTAAACTTTATAACCAGTTATTGGAGAATAGATAGACAGCACGAATAAAAGCCCTGAGATAATCAGATAGACATCCTCAATATAAGAGGAAACCAAGTGACATTTATTAAGTATGATTCAGGAAGTATGCTAGGGACCTTTCATTGAATCATCTGAATGAATCCTCTAATGACAGTGAGGAAGTTGGCTTATGTCATTATGTTCATTGCAGCCTTGTTCACCATAGCTAAGATATGGAACCAACCCAGATGGCCCTCAGTAGATGAATGGATCAAGAAAATGTAGTCTATATACACAATGGAATTGTATGCTTCCATTAGAAAGAATGACATCACCCCATTCATAAGGAAATGGAAGGACTTGCAAGTTTTTAATATTTTTTTATTGTAAAGATAAAGACTTGGAAAATTTTAAACATGGGCAAAGTATTTCAACAGACAATTTATTAAAGAAGAGAGTAAATACGAAAAGATGCTCAATAGTATTAACCATTAGGGAAATGCAAATTAATTACACAATGACATAACTATTCAATTTTATTAATTTGGAAAATTTCCCTACCACGTTATAATGAGGAAATGGAGCACCAGAAACTCACCCATTATCATTCATAACACAAAATGGCACAGCCACCCTGGAAAATAGTTCAACAGCCTCTTTAAAGCTAACCTTACTGGGTGACTGAACAATTCATGACTCAACTCTTTCTCAGAGTTTAGTCCAAGGAAATTAAAACTTATTCACACAAAAGCCATATGAAAATATTAGTAGCAGCCTTATTTATTCATAATCACCAACCCAACCCCAATGGCCTTTAATCAGAGAATGGATGAACTATCTAGCCGATTGTGTTGTTACTTAACAGTTAGAGACAGTTGCTGCTCCATGGATGAAAATGGCATTATTGAGTGAGTAGAAGTCAGCTTCAAAATGATTCTGTGTATGTGACATTCTAGACAAAAGCTAAGCTGCAGAAACAAATGACAGACCATTGGTTGCCAAAGCTTAGGAACTAGGGGACAGGTTAACTACAAACACAGGAAGTGTGGGAAGGATGAATTGCCCTATTTGTGGTGGTGGTTACACAAACTGCTACATGTGTTCTAACTCACAAATGAATTCAAATGATTGGATATAAGTAAATATGTTAAAAGAACGGAAACAATAAACATGACTATTCATAGAGAATACCGAATGTCATGGTAAAGACAGTATATTTATGTTATATTCATGATACAAGCAAATTGTGTTACAGGCATATTTCATAGTCCAACCCTCTTGAGGGGGAAAAAAGCAACATGTACATTTTGTAGTATTTAAAGCACAAATTTTATTTTTTCATTGTATTTTTTAATATTGGGAATTTGAACTTAGGAACTTATGCGTATAGTCACTCTACCACCTGAGTCATACTCTCGGTCCCTTTGCTTTTAGGCTCAAATACGGTCTCCTACTAACTTTCCCAGGATGGCCTTCAACATCCTCCTACCTTTGCCTCCTGTGTAGCTGGTAATAAATATGCACTACCATGGCAGGCCTGTTTCTTTGCGTATGCATTTTTTTAAATTATTTTTTTTTGGTCTGGTTGTGGGGCCTGAACTCTGGGCCTGGGCGCTGTCCCTCAGCTCTTCAGCTCAAGGCTAGCACTCTACCACTTGAGCCACAGCGCCACTTCCGGCTTTTTTCTTTTTGCTTATGTGGTGCTGAGGAATCGAACCCAGGGCCTCATGCATGCAAGGCAAGCACTCTACCACTGAGCCACCTTCCCAGCTCCATTTGCGTATGCATTTTTGGGACAGAGACTCAATATATAACCTAGGCTGACTTTGAACTTGTGATGCCTTGTCTTCTGAAGTGTTTGCGATTACAGCTGGGTACCACCACACCTAGCTTAGCTTTACCTTTTTATTTTATTTTTTAGGGCTCTTTGCTTGCTAATTAGGTACTCTAGCACACTTCTGACCCTTACCTTTATCATTCTATAAACAAATCTTATTGATGTTTAAACTTTCCTTTCATCAACTTCTGTATACAGAATTATTGGATCATAAAATTCCATATACAGAATTATGATATACAGAATTTATTGGATCCCACACAGTGATGTAGCTCCTCACAATAAAGTTTTTATGAGCAGGTGCCATCTGCCTCATAGAGGTCTGTTTAGTGAGGCAGTCGATGAACAAAAGGGCTAAGAATGCCTGTGTCACTTTATCGCGGGAGGACACTTGCCTGTACTTAGTCGAACTTACTGGGTAATAAAGTTTTCTGGGTTCATGATAGCAGTAATGGAAGAATGACCCATAACCTATAGCTCAAAAAGAGGTGCAGTGTATGTGAAATTTAGGTTCTGGTCTAATCACTGTTTATTGGGACCAACAGCCCAACCTCCCTGGACTTTGTTTCATTAGTAAAACATACCATTATTTTGCAGTTACTTTTCATCTTCTCACCATATAGTGACCTCTCCTTATCTTTCTTGTTGATACTATCCAGATGTCTATCATCTTCTAAGTCTTTCCAGTAAAAGTGGCGTAAAAAAATCTTTTCCCTCTAATCCTAGCTACTCAGGAGGCTGAGATCTGAGGACCAACACTCCAAGCCAGCCCAGGCAGGAAAGTCTGTGACACTCTTACTCGAACCAGCAAAAATAAAAAGCTGGAAGTGGAGGTATTGCTCAAGTGGTAGAGCACCAACCTTGAACAAAAATGCTAAGCAAGAACTTTTGGCTCTGAGTTCAAGCCCCACTGTGTGCACATGTGTGCATACACACGTGTGCACAGACACACACACATCATTCCTTTAAATCAGTACTGTTCCTGATTTCTTATTATTGATTGCAGTAGCAATATGTGCCAGGTGCTGGAGAAGTAGAGACAAAATTATTACCTGATTTATAGTTTACTGGAAAAGAAATGTAATTATAGGTTAACCAAGTCATAAGATAGACAGGAGGTACACACACACACGCACGCACGCACGCACGCACACCCCAAAAGGGGGACATGAGATCTACAGAGGACATGTATACTTTTTTTGGTAACTGGTGGATTTGTAGTGGTTTTGAAGGGACAGACTTTTTAAATTTTACTCTAAAGGTTGGGGAGAAGGCCCGCCCTAGGATCTCCTAGGAAGTCTTAGCTTACCCTGACTGGTCACAAACTTTTGAAATCACAAGTTGGCCAAAGAATTTTCCAAGAATAAGAATAAAAGAAACCAAAGTTTATTAGGCCCCAATTAAAGGAAAATAATAGGCAGTTAAACAGAGGGCTACAGAGCCACTGCTGTGCTGATATGGGGTTGGGGTATCCTATGTTGTGCTTTTATGGGGTGTTTGGCTCACCGGCACATTCTAAGTGACCTGTGGTATCCTCTCTCTACCATGTCTCTTTAAAGGACATGAGGCACTTTCTTCCACAAGGCTGTGTGATGTGTCAGAAGCCTTCGTTTCCTTCTCTACAAAATAGACACAATAGGAATAGCTATCTCATGATCTATTGTGAAGATAAAGCAAATTAGTTCTTGTTAAGCAATTAATCTGCCTGCGAAATAAAATCTAATCAGTCAATATGTTTCATTAATCTTAAACACAAGAGTAACTCTCATTTACTTATCTAATAATTGTCTTTGTACATCTAACTTCAAAATTAATCATCGTAGAAACAAAGGCTATGCACAACTTCCTTAGCTGAGAATTCTTCTCTATTAAGGACACTAGTCAAAGTGGTGTGGGTAGAAGGAGACTGGGAAGTAGGAATATAGAGAAAACAAAATATGTTGTCCTTGTAGTAATCAATTCGGAATACTTTTCTTCCTCAGGTATATTAAGGAAACAAACATAAAAAATGATCCAAATGAACTCAACAATCTTATCAAGAAAAACTCTGATGTTGTGACATGGACCCCACAACCCGGAGCTATTCTTGATTTGGGCAGGATGCTGAAGGACCCAACAGACAGGTTTGACTTATGTATTTGTAAAGGATACAGAAGGGTTAATGATATGCTTTTCAATATTATGATAAAAAGCTCACTTCTGTACACTTGGCCAGCCCATGTTAGAAGTAGTAATACTAACTGCTTTTATGAAACTCACTTTCTAATCAGGATAGGGAGGTAGGCCTATGGAAACACTCAGGAAGTTAGTACAACCAGATTGTATCTAATACTCAGAGTTATATGGGTCATAAGATTCTAAATCTATGGCTTTAATTTGTTCCCTCCAAACATGAACTTTATTTTATTTACTTATTCATTCATTTTTTTTGCCAGTCCTGGGACTTGAACTCTAGGCCTGGGGCGCTGTCCCCGAGCTCCTTTGGCTCAAGGCTAGTGCTCTACCACTTGAGCTACAGCTCCACTTCTAGCTTTTTCTTTTCTTTTCTTTTTTTGCTTATGTGGTGCTGAGGAATCGAACCCAGGGCCTCATGCATGCAAGGCAAGCGCTCTACCACTGAGCCACCTTCCCAGCCCATTTCTAGCTTTTTCTGTGATTAATTGGAGATAAGAGTCTCATAGACTTTCCTGCCCTGGCTGGCTTTGAACCACAATCCTCAGATCTTAGCCTTCTGAGCAGCTAGGATTATAGGCGTGAACCACTGCACCTAACAGTTTTTAAGGGGAGGGGAATTCAACTTGAGACCTTGAGTTTGCTAGACAAGCACTCCTACAACATGAACAAGATGCCCAATTCTTCTGCCTTGTTTTTTCAGATAAGGTCTTGTGCTTTTGTCTGGGCCAGAGACCCAATCCTCCTAGCTCTCCTCCTTCATAGTTGGGACCATACCCAGCTTGTTTTTATGCTAGAGTCTTGCTAACTTTCTCCTATTCCAAAGAAGGGAGCTTTGCTAGCCTCAAATCCCAGTCCTCCTATCTTCTTCTCTGAAATAACTTGGATTACAGGTGTGTGTACATATCTGATCCTAGACATGAATTTTATTGTTCAAATGAAACCTGACTTAGAATACTATCCAAGTCAGTGCCATATGGGAGCTGCTCAGGTTTAGACTGAAATGGGGCTTGAGACACCCTGGGAATCATTGCTGTAGTTTCAGAGCTAGTAGTCTGGTTGACTTCTGCCATTAAGTGCTAACTTTTGCCTCCTTATTTGTTGCTTGCATCTTTCACTCTTTTTTTTAACCTTTGTGTCTTTAAGCAAGGGTATCACAAATCCTCCAGAAGGAACTAAAATTTACAAGGATTCCTGGGACTTTGAACCATATCTGAATACCTTGAAGGCTGCTGTAGGAGATGAAATTTTTCTTCACTCATCCTGGATAAAAGAATACTTCACCTGGGCTGGATTTAAGAATTATAACTTGGTAGTCAGGGTATGTTGCTAAATATTATTTGTCTTTGCTTTCTGGTATTTTAGAAATAGGCCAAATCCTTAGAGTCCCCATTTGTTTCTAAATGATCATTTACCAAGTGTTCCCCTTCCCCTCACACATGCAACTGCTGACCAGAGAAACAGATTTGCCCATGTGATCATGTCTCCTAAAAAATTGAGGGACTCAATAAATAAGTGGGCTAAAGACTTAAAGAGAAACTTCTCTGAAGAAGAAAGAAGGATGGCCAATAGATACATGAAGAAATGTTCAACATCCCTAGCCATAAAAGAAATGCAAATCAAAACAACATTGAGATACCACCTCACCCCAGTTAGAATGGCAAAAATCAAGAACTCTTATAACAACAGATGCTGGAGGGGATGTGGACAGAAAGGAACCTTACTTCATTGTTGGTGGGAATGTAAACTTGTCCAACCACTTTGGAAAGCAGTATGGAGGTTCCTCAAAAGACTTCACATAGAACTCCCCTATGACCCAGCAATCCCACTTTTGGGCATTTACCCAAATGCTTACAAACAAGACCACACTAAAGCTACCACCACAACTATGTTTATTGCAGCATTATTTACCATAGCTAAGATATGGAACCAACCCAGATGCCCCTCAGTAGATGAATGGATCAAGAAAATGTGGTATATATACACAATGGAATTCTATGCCTCCATCAGAAAGAATGACATTGCCCCATTTGTTAGGAAATGGAAAAACTTGGAAAAAATTATATTAAGTGAAGTAAGCCAGGCCCAAAGAAACATAGGTCCCATGGTTTCCCTTATTTGCAATATCTAGTATATGTATGAGTCAAGCGGAAAAGGTCAGATAATGTGATGTCAGGAAAATGAACCCTTAGTTATGTATTTTAATGTTTTTCCTTTCATGCATGTGTTTCTAACGCATTTATAAGACTATCTCTTTGTTGCTTTGTATGTCCCTCCCCCACAGTATAACTCCTGCTTTCACTATATTTGATGTCAGTATAACTTGTGGAGGAGAGGGGGAAGAAACAGTTGTTTAAGGATACAGGTGGACCTGATGCAACAACGAGAAGTACAAGTTGTCATGTCCAAAACGTCGGTTCGGGGGGGGGGGGGGAGAAGGGGAGGGAAGGAGAAGGGTTGGGATTGGGGGGGAAGGGGAAGGCTGGGAAGGGATGTGAAGGGTAAACCAAAGGAGGAGGCTGCAATGCTTGGTAAGAAATGTACGCATTATCCTGCCCATGTAATTGTAACCCCTCTGTACAGTATGTTCACAAATAAAATTTAAAAAAATGAGGGACTCCTCTGAAATCCAGCTCATTTGCTTTTAGAATATCTGACATCTTTTTATCACCACGTGGTTATCATTTGTTTGTGTGATCATAGATGTTTGTCTCAGTATTTGGCATAGCAGCAACAATTATTTAAAACAGTTATTAAGCAGCTAAAAGGTAGAATTCATTCACAAGGTGGTAACACAAAGAAGGAGAGACAGGTGCAGGCTGGGAATTGAATGGCACAAACCAAAAAGTCTACTTCCACCAAGAGCATATGACTATCCTCACAGCAAAAGGTAGCATTCGGAGAAGAGACAGAAACTGGCTATACTAATTTCCAACTACCCTTTAAGGACCTTTGTTTTACACATTCTTGGAATCTTTTGAAGACCCTGACCATCTGATTAATGTTCTTCTTCCATTTCCTATGATGTCATTTTCACAGATGATTGAGACAGATGAGGACTTCAACCCTTTTCCTGGAGGATATGACTATTTGGTTGACTTTCTAGATTTGTCCTTCCCCAAAGAAAGACCTAGCCGGGAGCACTCCTATAAGGAAGTAAGCGGCAATCCTGGTGGAAGTCCCTCTTTCCTTCCCTCCTTTCTTCCTCCTCTTTTTTCTCCCTTCCCTCTCTTTTTTTCTTCCTAATTTTTAATTTAGAATCACTTTTATTTTACAGAGAAGTTGCAAGACAATACAGAATGTTGTTCATATCTTACTTTACTATTGTGTTATTTTATTATTTGTGACATTTGTCATTGTTAACTAACCAATATTGAAATACTGTGATGAACTGAAGTCCATGCTTGCTTCTTTTTGAGCCATTGGTCTGGGCTGGCTTTCCTATCTGCTTCCTTCCAAACATTGACCAGCCTCAGCTGTCCTTAGAACCAGGCATAAATCTCTGCCTTCTTTTACTTTTGGCCGGCAACGTCTTCTTCTAGTGAACCTAACAAATGTCTCTCTAAAGGGAATTGAATCAATATAAACATATACAGTGTGTGTGTGTGTGTGTGTGTGTGTGTGTGTGTGTGTGTATGTGCGTGCAAGCCAATACTAGAGTTTGAATTCAGGTCCTGGGCTCTAGCCCTTAGCTTTTCTACTCAATGCTGGCTCTCTACCACTTGAGCCACAGCTCCACTTCCAGCTTTTTGGTGGTTAATTGGAGTTAAAAGTCTCAGACTTTCCTGCGCTGGCTGGCTTCCAACTATGACCCTCAGGTTTCAGCCTCCTGGGAAGCTCGGATTACAATTGTGAAATACCCTGGGTCCTCACTTTTTTTGACTACTCTGTCTGCATTTTCTCTTGCTGCCAACTACACTCTCTAATTTCCCTCCAAAACTCTATATTCAAACCACTAGTTTTTGCTAGTCTCTTCCTGGTTGAGTTCATCTGCTAGCCATCATTCTTTTACAAATAACTCCAAAACTTCAAACATCCAGCCCAGACTTCTTTCTGACTCCCTCTGATTTGATGAGGCTTTGTATCCTCCATTGTCAACTGCTTGTTGAATACAGTATGGATTGCTACATCCTTGGCGCCTCATTCTCAACCTGGCCCAAATGCAACCCTTCATTTTCCTTTCCTTAAACTGATCTGTGTACTTTTCTATCTGATTGTTGGCAATACCATCCTTCCAGTCAACCAAACTAGGAACAAAGAAGCCAGCTGCACACCTTCTTTTCCTTGTCTTCAAATCCAATCACCCAAAACTCTATTTACCCCCTTTTCCATCTGTGCTTCTCCAAAAGCAAGAAAGTCAAGAAAGTCCACTCCCCTTTATTGGACAGAACCAGATCCCCAGACAGACAGAACTTAGTCTGATTAAGCTAAGGAACCATGCCTTCAAGCCTTTAAGTTGGCAAATAAAAGATCTCTGATCCATATCACAATGGGCAGAGCTGTCTTACAGGAACTGTTTGGGAAAGGCAAATGAATCAAAAACACCAATCTTGCCATTGTTCTTTGAAACACTAGCCCATGCTTTATGAAACTTTGCCTTTGCTGGCATTGGCATGATTTTTCCCAGTACAAAAGGAGATGTGGTACAGATAGTGGAAAAGCTCCTTTGTGCTTGAGACAGGCAATGGTGGGTTGTCAAACCATGTCTAATCTTAGGATATCATCCTTTCATGTTCTTTTTATTTATGCTGGTCCTGGGGCTGGAACTCGGGGCCTAGGCACTGTTCCTGAGCATCTTTTGCTCAAGTCTATCGCTCTACCACTTGAGCCATAGTGCCACTTCTGGCGTTTTCTGTGTAATGTATCAGAGGTAAGAGTCTCACAGACTTTCCTGCCCAAGCTGGCTTTGAACCATGATCTTCAGATCTCAGCCTCCTGAGTAGCGAGGCCTGGCTCCTTTCATATTCTTTAGAGAACTTTATTCTTTCTCTCAAGTCCCATGTTATACAGAAACCACAGCTTAGCAAGCTTGAGTTCATGTAACCAGTCAGCATAGGGCTAAAATTCAAGATATATCTGCTTATTTCTAATCCTGTACCCCTTTGCCTGTCTTGCAGCTGCATTGTCCACAACCTAGATCACCTGATTTAAGATAGTTTTACTCCTGTGCCAACAGGACACACACAGCTGCCATAAACTTGCAGGCTCTGCATTGCCTGTGAATGCACAAGTGGAGACTTTGGGCCCTTGCTTTTGGAGTGGTGATAATAGTAAACCTTTATTGAACACTTATAATGCACCAGGCCTTTTTTGTGGTGGTGGTGGGGGCACTGAACTGAGGTTTGAACTCAGAGCTTTGCATCTGCAAGTCAGGTCCTCTACCACTTGAGCCTTTCCAGCCCTTTCTACTCTGGTTATTTTTGAACTAAGGCCTCACTTTTTTTTGCCATGGTCAGCCTGGATTACAGTTTTACTTATTTATGTTTCCCACAGCAGCCAGAATGACAGGCATATACTACCACACCCAGCTTTTTCTCTTGAGATGGAAGTTTGCAATGGTCTTGAACTGTCATACTCTCCATCTACTTCCTGAATAGCTGATGTTACAGGTGTGATCTACTTCCTTCTTAAAAGGTATTTCACAGCCGGGAGCCAGTGGCTCACACCTGTAATCCTAGCTATTCAGGAGACTGAGATCTGAGGATCGTGGTTCAACGCCGGCTGGGGCAGGAAAGTCCATGAGACTCATCTCCAATAAACTACTCAGAAAAAGCCAGAAGCGGCATTGTGGCTTAAATGGTAGAGCACTAGCCTTGAGCACAGAAAGGCTCAGTGACAGAGCCCAGGCCCTGAGTTCAAGCCCCAGAGCTGGTAAAAAAAAAAAAAAGAAAAAAAGAAAAAAAAAGTATTTCAAATATCATGGCACACATCTTCACAACAGTCCCATGAAGAATGCTCCATTATCTCTTGTTATGGATGAGGAAACCAAGGCACAGAAGGAGAGCAAAATTACCCAGAAAGATTGGAATGCAGTGATCTAAACTGAATGAATGCTCCACTGCTATCCCCATTGGGCTCTTGAACCGCGTCCTGTTTTTCCTTTTCTTGATGTCCCTGCACTCAGCCTCCCTCCTTTTCCCCTCAGCCTGTGGCATCTGGAGACTTCTCTCCTCTATCCCCTCATATCCCTAAATACGAGCCTGTGCATTGGTGAGGGATAGGAGGTTCCACCCTCTGTGGTCCACCCTCTAAGCAGTCCACCCCTGCTAGAAATTCTGCCTCATCTGTTGCAGATTCGTAGCCGGGTTGACGTCATCAGATACGTGGTGAAGAACGGTCGACTCTGGGATGACTTGTACATAGGATTCCAGACTCGACTCCAGCGGGACCCTGATATCTACCACCACTTGTAAGTGTGAAAAAAACACCTGTCACCCCCTGGACAGCCGCTAGGGACATAGGTGTACAAGCAGAGTCAGTCCCCAAATTCTGACAGATAGGTGTGAACCTCCACTTCCCTCACAGCTTCATTTCTTTGTTAGCTTTTTTTTTTTCCTCACAAGCAATCTGGTCAGGAAAAATAACATGTTTGCCTGCTTTATTCATCATGGGAGTATCTTCTGGATGAGTTCCAGAAGTGGGATTTTTGGTATAGGAAAGAGGAAGACATTACCAAGAAGAAAAGAGAGTATTTGCCAAGGTCCGTATGAAAAGGTTGTTTTAATTAATTTGGTGCCAGTACTAGGACTTAAACTCAGGGCTTAGGCTCTCTCCCTTAGCTTTTGCTGCTGAAATCTGGTGCTATACCATTTGAGCCATTTGAGCCACAGCTCCATTTCTGGCTTCTTTTGGTTAACTGAAGATAAGAGTCTCAGCCTTTCCTGCCCAGGCTGGTATTAAACAGCAAACATCAGATCTCAGCCTCCTGAGTCACTAGGATTGGAGGTGTGAGCCACTAGCACCTGGCCATTTCCCACGTTTGAATCGACAACATCAGCAAGGACAGAACGTTCTTTCTAAGCATCACCGTTAAACCTAGACAAAAGAGAAGAAACTTAATTTTTCAATTCTAATCATTTAAAAATACCTACGCAAAATCTATCATCTAGTTTCTGTCGTAAGCTTGCAACTATACACATTTTTAAAAATACCCTTAGCACTTATTTTCTGGTGGAAGATGTTGAAATTATATTTGAAAAAATGTGAAGAATGTGGAGATAGGTAAAAGACAAAGTAAGTAGCCCCCCCCCAAGAAATGTCATCTGTTCCTGGCCTCCCTCCACCCACTCATAGGGTCACCATGGGTTACCATGATGCCATAGAAAGTGAGAGCTTTAGTTCCTGTGATGTCCAGGCCTCTACCAGGCCACATCCACATTTCTCTAGATATATTAGTTTTCAATTAAATGTGTTGTTGGGAAGAGGGAGGGTTACTGCCATTGTTTTTCGTATAGTCCTTGTACATAAATTCTGCAGCTTGATCTCAGGCATCCCCAAAAACATCTCATGGGTTTGGTTTCAGTCTCATTACTGTCCTTCAGGGTTAGGAAATGCAAGATGACCTCAAACCTTTAACAGCTGCAAGGTATTCCAAGTTGCTTATTGTTGCCACAGCACGTACCTGCTTTCTTGTAGAAAACTAAAAATGGAGTAACCTTGGGTAACTACTGGAGATTTTTATTTGGGTTGGTTGTGGGGCTTGAACTCTGAGCCTGGGTGCTGTCCCTCAGCTCTTCAGCTCAAGGCTAGCACTCTACCACTTGAGCCACAGCACCATTTCTGGTTTTCTGAGTGGTTTATTGGAGATAAGAGTCTCATGGACTTTCCTGCCTGGGCTGGCTATGAATAGTGATCATCAGGTCTCAGCCTCCTGAGTAGCTAGGATTGCAGGTGTGAGCCACCAGTGCCCGGCATTGGAGATTTCTTTCTCTGCAAAAATGATTCAACTTGGAAACTTCCAGGAGATTGATACTGTGTATGTTGCATTTTGCTAACAAAACAAAAGGATGTTGTAATGACTCTTGGGAAATAACCCAATTTAGCTTTGTTGTTTTTCAAATGGGATTTATGAATTTATGAACCATTTTTCTGCAAAGAAAGTCACATATCTCCACTGTGGAAAATTTGAAAAAAATAAAATACACCCCCCCACACACACATACACATACACACAGCACAAATAATCCAGACACCTAGACAGAACAATTTATATTTTGGTGACTAGCTAATCTTTCTTTTTCTATGTATAAGAACGCACTCATGTTTTTCATTAAAAAAATAGGACAATACTATATTGCAGCTGAGTATTTAGCATTGTGATTTTCTACATTACTATATCATCATTTTTAATGCCTACCTAAAGCCATGATAGAGAGAGCAGCATTGTCATCCTTCTACCTCAATCCTCGTGTCCAATGAGAGAACTGTAGGCTAGACTTGAGACAATGTAAAAGAGATAGGAAAGCTTATTAGAAAAGAAATAGGGCAGAGAAAGGAGACTGATTCTGTGGCACAATGCCCTGGAAAACCATAGCTTTCATTCACCTTCAGGCATGCTCTGTTAGGTTTAAACAGAGGAAGGACTGAGGGTAGGGGGCAAATGAGTGTGGAAAGAGCCCCAGTTACAGGTGTGATCTGGTTGGTCCTTATCTCAGTCCTGGTTCTCCTGGACTCCAGGGTCGTTGTTATCACTGTGATGATCACTTGAAGGGAACAATCTGCTTCCCATGAGATGATTCTTCCCACTTCCAGAAGCAACCTGATCATTAGAGGTCATCGTTCTCATTTAGAGATGATCTTTCTTAGAAGGACAGATGAAGATCTGCTGTCACCAGTAGTTTCAGTCTCTTGTCATAAAGATATTATGGGTTGGTCCTGTTTTTCCTGGAACCCAAAGTGATTGTGAAGTGATTAGGGGAGGGAGTGGCTTAGAACAATGACAAACACAAAATGAAGCACCAATGCCAGGCTTTTCTTCTACTTTTGGTTAATTCACAGCATCAAAAACAGCTTAAAGTACCTCTTACAGTAGACTGATAGCGAGGTGTCTCTTGTGTGAGAACAACAGTTTTAGCCTTTGGAACTTGCGTATTTATTGTGTATTAATTGAGTATTTCCTCTGAGAAGTTCAAGTCCACAGATCCAGCCTGAAGTCTCCTTGTGATTTCATCCTGCATCTCAGCATTTCTTCGCATGTCCCCATTGTTCATGGCTAGCTGCTATCTAGCTATATCAGATGCCAGTAGTCAGACTTTATTTGATCAGTCTTAATTGGCCTTTGTTTCTAACATTTTATGGTTGGAAAGCAATGAATGGGCAAACAACCTGTCAGTGTGTCTTGCACACTTTTTTAGTGGTTTCCATAGGCTGGGTGCAGCGTGCACAGCTTAGGCCTTTGGCCCACTCTCCTCAATTCCCTGGCCCACCTCTCTTCCATTCTTCAGGAAGCTTGACCACTTGCCACCATTCATGTCTGACCTAGCTAGAGCTAGGTGCTGAGGCTTGTGTACCAAAATAGAAATCGAGATTTTTCACCTCTGAGGATTCCTTAACAGAAACATATCATCACATTTATTTTTTTGTGCTGATCCTGGGGCTTGAACTCAGGGCCTAGACTCTGTCCCTGAGCTTCCTTTGCACAAGGCTAGCACTCTACCACCTGAGCCACAGCTCAATTCCTGGTGTTTTGTTTTGTTTTGGGTAGTTTATCAGAGATCAGTGTCTCATGGACTTTCCTGCCTGGGCTAGCTCTGAACCACGACCCCCAGATCTCAGCCTCCTGAGTAGCTAGGATTACACATATGAGTCACAGGCACTTGGCATGTTGTCATGTTTTAATGGACTATCTAAATCCAACATCTGGAAATTCTAGGCTACATGAATAGCTGAGCAGTACAACAACACTCTCTTTGGGAGAGCTGAGTACCAGGAACCAAAAATATCCAGGCACTGCAACAGACAGAAGTTGCTTGTTTTATCTCTTACAGGTTTTGGAATCATTTTCAAATTAAGCTCCCCCTAACACCACCCAACTGGAGGTCATTCCTGATGCACTGCGGTTAGACTGGACCTCAGATTCCCCAGGTGAGCTTCCCTGGGGACTGGCACACACCCTGCCACACATCCCCTGATGCTCTTTGTCACCTACATTGCAGAAAGTCTGACTTTCAGAGTTGAAAAAGAGGAAAATGGTACAAGAAGAACATTGGAGTTTAAAAAAATAAGTATTTACTGGTGGCTTACCCTATAATCTTAGCTACTCAAGAGGCTGAGGTCTGAGGACAGTTTGAAACCAGTTTATGCAGGAAAGTCCCTGAGACACTGATCTCCAATTAACAACCAAATAGCCAGAGATGGAGCTGTGGCTCAAGCTGTGGAATCCTAGTCTTGAGGAAAGCTTAGGGACAGTGCCCAGGCCCCTGAGTTCAAGCCCCAGTACTAGAAAAATAAATAAGAAAAATAGTGAGTACATTTAGCCCCATATCCATAAAACCTTTGGTCTAGTTGAGGTGAACAGACAGTTTCTTGATAACAAAGTAGGACCTCTCCCAAGAGGCCAATGAGTGTTCAGAACTCAGTCCCAAGCAAATGAGGAAAAGCAGCTGCAGAAATGGGAGTGGAAAACTTAAACTGTGTCTCTCTTTTCCTGGAAGGGAGTTCTGATTCTCTGGCATGAAGCAGATTCTCCAGCATTCCATTTTATGGTTTGCAATATGGTTTTATCTGCTGAATTACAAAATCCGTCTCCACGTGTAGTAAAACGAATCATAGGGGCTGGGAAGGTGGCTCAGTGGTAGAGCGCTTCCCTTGCATGCTCAAGGCCCTGGGTTCGATTCCTCAGCACCACATAAGCAAAAAGAAAAAAGCCGGAAGTGGCGCTGTGGCTCAAGTGG